ATGTATGTATGTATGTATGTATGTATGTATGTATGTATGTATGTATGTATGTATGTATGTAATGTAATGTAATGTAATGTATGTATGTATGTATGTATGTATGTATGTGTATGTATGTATGTATGTATGTATGTATGTATGTATGTATGTATGTATGTATGTATGTATGTAATGTATGTATGTAATGTATGTATGTATGTATGTATGTATGTATGTATGTATGTATGTATGTATGTATGTATGTATGTATGTATGTATGTATGTATGTATGTATTATGTATGTATGTATGTATGTATGTATGTATGTATGTATGTATGTATGTATGTATGTATGTATGTATGTATGTATGTATGTATGTGTGTATGTATGTAATGTAATGTATGTATGTATGTATGTATGCGTGTATGTATGTATGTATGTATGTATGTATGCATGTATGTATGTATGTATGTATGTATGTATGTATGTATGTATGTATGTATGTATGTATGTATGTATGTATGTATGTAATGTATGTACATCTATATTTTTCAGGAATCAACATACATCTCCTCCATTCTGATAGATCCCAACAGCCAGCCAGGCTTCTCAGTCTGCTCGCTGGCGCAGACCGGCCTTCGAACAGAGCTATCGGACAGATGCAACGAAAGGAATCCCAGCTGCGCTCGGTGAGGTTTTCATCTGTGCTAGGAGCGGAGCCCGAGGATGGCAAGGTGGCAAAGCGGTTTGGCTCGAAGGCTCTTCCGCTGCCCGACGCAGAGCTGGAGAGGAGGCCTTGGTTGCAATCAGTGGGTTCTGTTGGTGCCACTCTTTCTTTGGCTTCAACTAGGTCTCCCCAAGGTGGGAACACCTCTTTCCAGGATGTTTTTCTTGGGCATGCTTTCAACACAAGGCCACCAAGGCACTCTGATGCTCTTGGGCCGAAGTGAGTGGATGCTCCCAGGGAGCTTTTGGGCTCAGTGGCCGGGCTTGCTTACACTGGGCGAGTAAGGAGATTTGCGCAGATCCTGAAGAATCTGGACCGGCGCGGCTCGGATGCAGGGTGCGGCAACGGAAGAGGCGGTTTGAAAGAGGTGCCCGGGTTGAAAATACATCGTGCTGGATGAATTTCAGTTCTAATCATTTTCCGCTGCCGCCGGTTTCCTTTCCCCCGAAAAAGCACCTCGGCCGGTGCCTTCAAGAGTCGGGAGCGGCGAGGGAGACCAAGAAGGGGCCCGACAGTTGTTTACACACAGCAGGACCAACACATAGCAACCTGGCCACTGTTTGCTGGAAAGCAGGAAATTGATACTTTTGAAGTTGGTGTCCACCCACCATGAACAAAAGTTGCAAATGATCCAATCTAGGAATGTACCTGTAGGGAGGTGCCTGTGTCTTCGTTGCGCTGCATGTCTAGGTGTTCTTTGGCTGGCATTGGCTTACCGGTTGCGTTGATTTCGGGCCTTTGATGGATTGGAACAACAGAGCAGCCCCTTGGCCTGGCTCTTTGAGTGTCTCAGGAATGTGCGAAGAAGAGGCGATGCAGCAGAGATGCAAAGATGTCATCCAGAGCGTTTCTACGCTGATGGATTCCAGCGGCCGCTACTTTTACTGCTAAGCAGAAAGAAGTTGCCACTTGGAAAAGCGCCTCGCTGCTTGCACAGGACAGCCAGGCCAATGGCCCCGCCACTTCTGAACTTCCAATGTTCCAATGCGCCTAAGCTTTGGAACTTTTGGAGCTTTTGGCAGGACAACCCGCATTGTTGAGGGTCGCACAAGGCGCAGGTGAGACATGAACCAAAGCCAGGCGATGTTGCAAGTCCCCTTTTCCATGGGTGAACTGCATAGTTGTGTTAAGTTCCCAATGCCAACATGCTTCCTTGCGCATTGTTCGGGAACCCTCGGGCCCTGTTTTGGGATATTGTCCCTCTTAGCAGAGAAGGAGTCTTCGCCGATTCCGAAGAGCAACAAGACGGCCCTCTAGGTTGTATGTCTTTTGCCCCACATACATGGGAAGTGCACAGATCCCTGTTTTTTTTGTCTTTGGGTTTTGCACATTGAGAAAAATAGGGTTTGATTCCATTTTCTTTGATACCAAGGAAAAGTGAGGTGGTAATGTGGATGGGAATCCCACTTTGGAATCAAACCATTATGTTCCACAACCATGGCTTTGAGTGGGTACGGTGACCTCCGGAGCTGTGCCGCTGGCCTGCTTTCCTTTTTGGAAGTACAGCAACCTTGAAAAAAGGTAGCCTCGAATCCACTAACATGGGGGTGCTGCAAGACCATCTTGCTTTGAAATTGACCCTCTGGTCGTGGACCAGAGGGTAGCCTCCAAAATCCTGGAAGACCATTTTTCTTTTTAAATTTTTGACCCTCTGGAGGATTCCATGTTGACCAGACCCAAGCCCATGGAGCAGAGGTGGCCTCAACAAGCCGAGACCCAAGTCGCTCACCTAGCCAGCCTCAGGACATCTCAGGACGCACTTTCGAGAGCTCGGACCCAACTGGCCGCGTCAGGCCTTCGACAACACCGACCGGCGCATGCCGATCGACCGCGACGAGGTCCGCGTGCGCCCGGAGCTGAGGGGAGCGGATCGAACGCCGGGGGGGTCTGAGGGCTCCGCAGAGTCCGCTCGCGGTTTTGCTGGACCGCTGGGTTGGATCTGTAGACTTGGACTTTTTGGTTGAAATCAAGTGGGGTTTTCCGCTAAAGCCCCAGAAAGTTATTCACTTTTTTGCAGGGTCAACAGCAAAGTTTGGGGAAGCCCAACCGAGAAAAAGGATGTGGAGACCTCGGGCTTGGCGCAGCTTTCGGCATGGGGCAAATGTGGTCATCTTCTGAGGTCTTGGGTGCTCGAGTGAGATTGGGTTGGAGTCATTCCTTGTCTTGGAAGGTGGTTGACATGCAATGTGCTCATGGGGGGGCGGGGCGGGGGGGTGGGGGTGGCTTGCACGTGACGAGGCCGGACGATCGGCGCCAAGAAGGATGGGATCCGAGTCTCCCAATGGGGAAGACGTACTCCTCTCCAAAACAAATAGGTGGTTCCCTGTTATCACACAAAGGGGGCACCCTCAACAGATGCCACACCCAAATGTAGGGCTGGATCCCACTCTCTCTCCATGATTGCTCCGTGGAGCCGCAGTGTTGGCATGCAAGTTGAGCTGCTGTCCGTTGCGTCACCCAGAATTCCACTCTGGGGGGAGGTCCAACCTCTTAATCATGGGGTAGTTTCGGGATCTTTGAACTAAAGAATGCGGCCTTCTTGGTGGCCGGGGGGTGGCCATGCCCTCCCACTTTGGTTCTGCAGAGCTTCTTCCAACCAATGTGCGATTGCGCCTTTAGCAGCGCTTGCGGTGAACACAAGGCATGCTAACTCCTCACGTCCCTGGGAAGCTTGCTTCCGCATGCCTGACCGTTTGAGGAGGATGCTCGGTACCACAGAAGAGGGTCCAATCCGCGCCATCCGACCCAATTCCCAGAATGAAAGCTTGGGAATCGACCAAAGAGCAGAGGAGCCCGAAAACAAACCCCACCTTCCAAGGCAAGAATGCAAAACCAGACCCTAGGTTTGGGTCCAAAGAAATGTGGGCTTTCAACATTTTTCCTTTTCAGTGTTTCCCTTGAAGCCACCCATCCGCGAGTAAATCTGGATTCTGAAAACAGCCCAGCTCGTTTCGCTCGCAGGACGACTACTCTCTGGACGGCAAGTCCGCCACGCGGAACGAGGTCTTCAACCTCCTCGAGTCCTGCGGCTTCACGAAGTACGGAGACCCGGGCGTCGGATGGCTGTGGCGCGTTAGAACGGCTTCGGCGGTCCGAGGTCCCTAAGGAGAGCGAAGGAGCCCGCAGGAGCCGAGCTCGGAGCTTTTTTCGCGGCCGAACAATTCTCTCCCAAGCGGGCTTGCGCGAACTTGCGCCTCTGTGTTCTCGATTGGAGCCACTCAAGCCCATTCTGGGCAATGTCCGCCTTGTGAGGTCTTTTGCGTCAGGTGTCATGATATTTGTGACGAGGATATAGGATCAGTTTGCAGCTTCTCTCAAATTAATTGGGTTTACCCCCCTGCCACGGACATTTCGATTTGCCGTTGAAGCACCGAGCCGTAAAAAGATTTTCAACGCCCCAAGAGTCGTTAGCAAAAAAAACATAAGCGAACACGGGAGGAAGCCAAGGCCTGCAAAGTCATGTCAAATTAGGCGAAAGGGAGGCTTTCTTGGTTCTGTTTGAATGGCAGTTTCCTTTCTTGGTGCATCAAGCCGGGGCTCAAAGGTTGAGATGTTCGCCAGATTTCAGGCCAGAAAGCGCTCTACTGCGACTGCTACGCTGTTTCAGTAAATCCGGGGCTTGGTGCGGGCAGATTTCAGGGAAGTTCCGCGAAGGTTCAGTGTAATAATGATTTTGCATCATGAGGGATACTTTTTGTGGGTAGCCTGACCTCAGCCATTGCTTGATTCCAGCGGATTCGTTGGGGTTCCCCTGCGTTTCCTGTCTTTGGGGTCAGGTCCAACCCCTACTACATCGTTCAGCAGGGCAAGGCTGGCAAAAATGGGAGCCGCAGGTTCGACATGGTTCCATGACGAAATTGTCCACTACACGGGTCAGGTCACACGCTTTCCACAAAAAACCAAGGAAACTAATTTCTTTTAACATGTGCCTTGCGTGTCACAAAGCTTGAACGCGGTTCATGTGCATCATCCAAAGGTCCTCTCCCCGTTTTCTGATCACGATCCAGCCTGGTATTAGGGTGGTTCGCATTTCACTCCTGCGAGCAGCAAGCGAATCGTGTCCTGCGAGCAGCAAGCGAGTCGTGTCAGCATAGGGGACTTCCCAGAACTGTAAGTTTCCTTGTGGTTTCCCTAAAACCAAGCTGAAAAGGGTATCCCCAAAACACGCACATACCAACCCGCTGTCTCGTCACATCTTTTTTCGTAGGTTCAGGCGCAGCTTTTTGGGGAAAGCGTTCGCCTGGGATGTCTGCCTCACCCTTGTGGCCCCAAGAATGCCTCACCCTTGTGGCCCCAAGAATGCCTCACCCTTGTGGCCCCAAGAAAGCACTCGCCCTTGTCTCTCCCAAGGTCTGTAAGTCCCCTTTCATTTTCGAGGATCCACGCGCCAGGGGGCATCACGGAAGCTGCGTACGGCACTTTTTTGGGAGAATGTCACATTTTTCACAGGGCGGAGTTTGGGGATTTGGGGATTTGGGGGGGGACACAAACACAGTACTGACCTATCTCGGGTGACCAGAGCAAGCTGCTGGGGAGCGCATGTTGGGAGCTGTCAGAATCGAGTTGATCCGCAGTCACTAGTAGTGATGCAAGAAGCTGACTTGCTGAACCTTTTGAAGGGATTGCGAAACTCACTTTGCTATTTCCGCCCTTTAGAGCAAAAGTACAGCACAAACTCCAAATCCCCGCAAACTTACACTTCTTTTTCTGATGGTTCTTGCTTTGCGCGTGGCGTTTTTTGAGAGAAGCCGAATCTGCACGAAGCAATTCGTCTCCGGGTTGCTTCTCGCGCGCGGTGCACCCCCCGAGCCAGGTGGCAGAGCTGACGCTCATGGACGACCGGCGGCGCCTCGAGCTGCTGAAGGCGAGCGAATTCCGCGGCCGCGGCCTTCGTGGCTTTTTCACCGTCGAGCCAAAGAAAATCCGAAGCCGTGGGATTTTGGAAAGCTTTTTGGTTGAACCGCTTGGAGTTGTTGTATATTTTTTGTGTTGGGGGGCCTCCCGCTTTGGACCCCGGCCAAGGTGCCTTTTAGATACCCCAACGTGTGTGTGTGGAAATGTGGCTCAGACGTGTCGCTCAAAGGTGTTTTCAGAAGTGTCGCTCAGGAGTGCCGCTCAGTGTTGCCCGGATTTGTTGTTTAGAGGTGTCGCTCAGAAGTGTCGCTCAAAAGCGTCGCTTACATGTGTGTGTGTGTGTGTGTGTGTGCGTGCTCCGAAGTGTTGCTCGGAAGATCAGAAGCATCGGTCAGAAGTGTTGCTCAGAACGGTCGGTCAGAGGTGTCGGTCAGAGGCGCCGATCAGCAGTGTCGAAGCAGCAGTGTTGCTGCGAAGTGTGCGTCAGAAGTGTCGATCAGAAGTGTCGCTCAGAAGTGTCGATCAGAAGTGTCGATCAGAAGTGTTGCCCAGAAGTGTCGATCAGAAGTGTTGCTCAGAATTGTCCCTCAGAAGTGTTGCGCAGAAGTGTCGCTCTGAAGTACCGATCAGAAGTGTGGACCAGAGGCATCGATCAGAAGTGTTGCTCAGAACTGTCGATCAGAGGTGTCGGTGAGAGTTGTCGATCAGCAGTGTCGAATCAGCAGTGTTGCTGTGAAGTGTGCGTCAGAAGTGTGGATCAGAAGTGTTGCTCAGAAGCGTCGATCAGAAGTGTCGACCAGAGGGGTTGCTCGGCAGTGTCGCGCAGAAGTGTTGCTCAGAAGTGTTGCTCAGAAGTTTCAATTCAGCAGTGTTGCTCAGAAGTGCCCCTCAGAAGTGTGGATCAGAAGTGTTGCTCAGAGCTGTCCATCAGAACTGTCGGTCAGAAGTGTGGATCAGAACTGTCGACCAGAAGTGTTGGTCAACCCCGCTGAGAAGTGTAACTCCGAATTGTCGGTTAGAAGTGTTGCTCAAGAGTGCTGCTTGGAAGTGTCGGTCAGAAGTGTTGCTCATGCAGAAGTGTCGATCAGAAGTGTTGCTCGGAAGTGTGGATCAGAAGCATTTGACCGAAATGTCGATCAGAAGTGCGGATCAGAAGTGTTTCTCAGAAGTGTGGCTCAGAAGTGTCGCTCAGGAGTGTCGATGACAGTGTGGATCAGAAGTGTTGCTCAGAAGTGTCAATCAGAAGTGTGGTTCAGAAGTGTTGCTCAAAGCTGACTATGAGAAGTGTCGATCAGAAGTGTGGATCATAAGAATTGCTCAGAAGTGTCGATCAGAAGTGTCGCTCAGAAGTGTCAATGACAAAGTCTCCCTCAGAGGTGTTGCTCAGAAGTGTCGATCAGAAAAAGTGTGGCTCAGAAGTGTCGCTCAAAAAAGTGTCGCTCAGAAGTGTCAATCAAAAGTGTTGCTCAAAGTGTCGCTCAGAAGTGTAGTACGCGCTAGACAATCGCAACTTCGTAGTACAAGAATTTTGCGCGAAGCACAGGTTTAAAGCTCTAGCTGGAATCGCAACTTTGTAGCGCAAGTATGAAGTACAGGCTTCCAGCTAGAGAAAATTGTGGTACAAGTCTAGTACGCAAAGTACAGGTTTCCAGCTCTAGCTGGAAAATCGCAACTTTGTAGTACAAGTCCAGTGCGCGAAGTGCAGGCTTCCAGCTCCAGCAGGAAAATCACAAGTTTTGTAGTACGAGTCTGGCTGGCGAAGTGCCTGGCTGGAAGATCGCAACTTTGAAGTGCAAGTGTAGCACGCGAGGTACAGGTTTCGATCCAGCTGGAAAATCGCAACTTTGTAGCGCAAGTCTAGTATGCAAAGTACAGGCTTCCAGCCCCGGCTGGACAATCGCAACTGTGTAGCGCAAGTCTAATGCGCGAAGTACAGTTTTCCAGCTCCGGCTGGAAAATCGCAACTTTGTAGTACAAGTGTAGTGTGTGAAGTGCAGGTGTTTTGGGTTTTAGTTCGAAAATTGTAACTTTGTAGCAACAAGTTGAGTACGCAAAGTACAGTTTTACAAGCTGAAAAAAAGTTCGCGCAGTTGACTTGATTGCGAGCCCCATTGGCTTACACCGAACATTGTTCTCTCTACTTATTGTCTTTGGTTTGCATTTGGAATCGTGGGCTCTGTCTTGCTCTCGACCTGGCCAACGACGGAGGCTTGGTGCCAACCGATACCATTGAGCGGCGGATGGAACAGAAAGACAAGGGCGACGATTAGAAGCAGGGACAAGCAACACCAGTCTACAAACAAGCAAGCAAGCACGCACGCAAGCAAGCAAGCAAGCACGCATGCAAACAAGGAAAAGAAAGAAGTGAAGAAAGAAGACAAGAAAGAAAGAAAGATAGAAAGCAAACCAGAAAGGAAGAAAAAACAAAAGAAAGCAAGAAGGAAAGAAAGAAAGAAAGAAAGAAAGAAAGAAAGAAAGACAGAAAGAAAGAAAGAAAGAAAGAAAAAGAAAGAAAGAAAGAAAGAAAGAAAAGAAAGAAAGAAAGACAGAAAGAAAAGAAAGAAAGAAATCAAGAAAAGAAAGAAAGAAAGAAAGAAATCAAGAAAAGAAAGAAAGAAAGAAAGAAAGAAAGAAAGAAAGAAAGAAAGAAAGAAAGAAAGAAAGAAAAGAAAGAACAAGAAAGAAAGGAAAAGGAAAGAAATGAAAATACAACAAATACAGAAAAACAAAGGCACAAAGGCACAAAGAAGTAAAAAGCCAAAACAAAGTCACAAAGAAACAAACACACAAAGAAACAAAGAAGCAAAGATGCAAAGAAACAAACGAGCGAGCGGCGAACAAGCGAACAAACGAACAAGCGAACAAGCGAACAAGCAAAAAGAAGTCAAGCAAACATAAACCAAGCAAAAAGAAAGCAAGCAACAAGATGGAAAAAAGAAGCAAGAGACTTGCTTTTGACCCTGGTAATCCCTTGGTCATAAGCCCCGGGACCTAGCCGTCAAACTCTATGCTTTTGGTTCTCTCTATACCGTGATTTGCTCGGGTCATAACAGGTATGTGTCGGACATTTTTGGGTCCCCAAATCGGGTTTCTCTTTGATTTCCCTTTTTGCCATATATTGCCCTTTGCTTAAAAAAATGTTGGGAATGAGCAATTGGTATATTGTGTTAGAACTAGTAACAGAACAATGTAAATTCCAATACTTTTAGTATGAATCAGTTTCAACCCAGGCGAGCTAGCTCCATATTGATAAACTGTTCATAAAATCTGTAGGAAACCAAGAGTTCAAAACTAAGGAGATCCGTCTTCTGGAGGGATTAGACAATACGACACAAACCACAAAACCATAAAGCAGAGTTGAACAACATAATCTCGCCTGTCCATAACCCATTGCCCGTCCGGCCATAACCCATTGCTCGCGCGCCATCTCAAAAGAAGAACAAACAAACAACGCGCGAGGAGATTTCCGGCGCCGGGGTCTACGACGAGCGGCGGGGGGAGTCGGTGAAGCTCCTTCAGGCGAGGAAGGGAGTCCCATTTTTCAGTTATGATGGGCCCATAGGTGAGTTTCCCTTGTGGATGAGTCATGCTGTTCTAGGGGTAACTTCCAATTCCATTCTTTCCAGGGATCCTTATTCTAGAAAACCACCAAACACCCTGGGGAAATCGGCTGGTTATTGAAAAGAACGACGGCCGAAAAGAATGGGGAATCAACCCCTAGAGCTGTGGATGGTTGCGCAATCCATTTCACACCACTTTGAAACTAGGGTTGAATCCAGCATTGTTGGCATTAGCTTGGGGAATCGAATCAGAAACCAGGGTTTCTGAATGGTGGTGCTAAATGAATTTCGTTCATCCACAGTAAGGGGGATTTTAGTGCCGAACGGCTGAACGACATTGTGGATGAGGCTGCGCACGGGCAGACCCCAAAGTACACACACACACACACACCAACACACACACACACAAACGGTGGGTGGGTGGGAGAGAGGGAGATGAATCATTGAAGTGGCAAAAGTCTGCAAGTGTTCACCGCGTCCGGGCTTCGCTGACGGGTCAGCGCGGGGAAGCCCGTGGCCGGCGCGGCTCGGTGGTCTGCTGCCAAGTCCCTACTAAAATAGGTTCCAAAATGGGTCCCCCCACCCCAAAGTGGGATCCCATTGGTTTTGACAACCACAGCCAAATGGGGATCTAATTTTCAAGCGTGGAGCCCAGGAGACTGCCGTGCGGCGCAAGAAGACGGAGGAGATCATTGAGGCCGTGATCGTGTAGAGGTTTTGGAGTCCATTTGACTGGAAAATCCCAAGGGGTCTTATGAACTGTGTGGGCGTTGAAGGGTTCAGTTTGGTTCCAACTCACTTTCTGCTGAGGGGAGTGTTTCGTCTTGAAGCTTTAAGCACCCGTGAATTTTGCTGTCCTCATCGTCAAAATCAGAAACTGGGGTGGCCCCCCCCCGTTCAAATCACGCGCTAACTCGGAGAGTGGTAAAAGAACAGGGCCAGCGGTCGGGCGGGGGAGCCTTGATCTTGTCCACCGCCATCACAATTAGCTGGAACAGGAGGATCACGCTAAACTAAAGACAGCAACCACCCTGCTAAATCATCCTTGCGCCTTTGCATCAACGTAAGGATTGTTGTATCCCGCAATGCCAGGAATGCTGATCTGAATGCTTTGTTTCCAAAACATCCCCACATGAAAGTGGGCTTTCTGCTATCCAGGGATCCACCGCTGCGTCGATTCTGCCGTTAGTCTGATTCGACCTTTGAAAGCGAAGGGGAGGCTTGCCGGCGCGACTTTTGACGTGTGAATCGCTCCGCCGCAGCAGTTTGAGGCTTTTGGAAAGGAGAGACAGAGAGGGAGAGACCTGTTTGCGAGTTGTTTTCGTTCATCGCATGCCCATCATTTTTTTCTGGTTTCTCATGTGCTTTTTGGATCCAGCCGGGCCACTTCCCCACTCCCTTTTGCTCGAAGATTGGGCTTCCGGTGCCGACTTCTCGGCGTCTCCGTTGGTTTGGCACCGGGCATCGGCAGAGAGGAAGGCGGCTCGGATCCAGAGGCTCGGGAGGAGCGGAAGTCAGATGTGGCGAGACTTTCTGGGTCAAAACCAATGGGATCGATCCCATTTTTGGGGGTTTTCGGTGCACCACCCCATTTTAGGAGTGGTTGGATTGGCATTTTGGGGTAGGTGCACCAGCCAGTTTAGTCTATTTTAGTGGGGATGTTCACTGGCGGTACGATTTGGATCTTGACCCATGGCCACTTGTATGGCTTGCGTCCCTTCACCTTCTAAAGGGACTGGCTGAGGGAAATCAAAGGGGACCGCCACCGAAGTTTTTCGAAATGGGGGTAGGGAGGTGTTCGGTCTTGGTTCAGCAGAATCGGCGCGACATGGTCGAAGCATCCCTGGTACGGCAGAATATGGCAGAAAGGGTACCCTCAAGAAAAGCGACACCCGTATTGCATGAAGGGCGCCGCACGGCACCATCCGAGTCTTTGCGAGTTTCCTACCAGTAATCAGCTTCCCCTTTTTGCGAAATCTCTGGAAAACCAAGCTCATGCCACATCGACTTCCAAAACGGTCCAGACTTGGCCTAGGGAGCATTCCTGTGAGCCACTGACTTCAAAAACCCGGGTAGAAGGTTAGGGGATAATCCCAAGCAATTCCTTGCATGGGTTTTAGACCATTTTATTTCCGATACTGTAGGTTTTGATACTCACATCTGGTCAGACCAAAGCAATTGAAGCGGGCCAAGGTTCTTTCCAGCTCGCCGACTATGACGCTGATCAGCCTTATTTTGGATGCGGTCTTTCTTACCTACGTTGCAGCTCCTTAGTTTGGAATGGGTTTTCTTTGCTGTTGTTTGTTTGTTTGTTTGTTTGTTTGTTTGTTTGTTTGTTTGTTTGTTTGTTTGTTTGTTTGTTTGTTTGTTTGTTTGTTTGTTGGATTGGTTTTGTTTGGTTTGGTTTGTTTGGTTGTTTGTTTGTTTGTTTGTTTGTTTGTTTGTTTGTTTGTTTGTTTGTTTGTTTGTTTGGTGTATGCTTTTTGTTTTTTGCTTGCTTGCTTGCTTGCTTGCTTGCTTGCTTGCTTGTTTGTTTGTTTGTTTGTTTGTTTGTTTGTTTGGCTGGTTGGTTGGTTGGTTGCTTGCTTGCTTGCTTGCTTGCTTGCTTGTTTGTTTGTTTGATTGTTTTTTTGATTGGTTTTTTGTTTGGTTGATTGGGTTGTTGATTGTTTTGTTCGGTTGTTGCTACTGGACCAAGACATTCCAGTGGTGCGCCACAGGAAGGTCAGGAACTGGACAACCCGGTGGTGCATGTATGCACTGGCCCATCCATCAGGTGCAAGGGCATCTGCCACACGACGGCAGGACCACGTTGCTGCATTTGGCACGCCCACACCTGATCTTTGCCAGCTTCAGGCACCGTATGCAGCATGGCCGTAGCTTGTCGTGGGATGAGGAAGGCGAGCCGCAGGCTGACCAGGTCTTTGATCTGCGACTTGACTTGGGGTTGTCTCGGATCTGTTCGACCTGGTCGAGGGTCGACTCCTGGATGTACCTGGCGATGGCGTCGGACCCCCAACGTCCGCTGAGTTGAGCCGTCTCCTTGGTGTATCCCACGCGGGTAAGCCCGTGACCCTGCGCACGTGCTGTTGAAAGCTGGTGCTTGGGTGTGCCTGATGGGTCGGGTCGGGTGAGGCTCGATGGTCGGTCGGAACAAGTCAATGACATGAAGCTTCTCGACGGTCGCGTCTCCACCAGGGGAATGGAGGGAGGTGGTCCGCAGAGTCGTTGTTGCGAGGCAAGAAGCCCAGGCAACGGACGCCCGGAGTTGAAAAGTTGCTTGGTTGTTTGGTTGTTGTTGCTTGTTGATTGGTTGTTTGGTTGTTTGGTTGCTTGATTGCGTGCTAGTTTTTGGGCTTGCTTGCTAGGTTGCATTTCT